GAACCGCAGAGGGTGGGGTGGGGGCTTTTGCGCACGGATCCTGCTTGCGGGCTTCCCATTAAGGACATGTGAGAAGAAGATGGTGCGCTTAAGGAACCCTTGGCCTGACCTGACAGCGTCCTCTCCTGTTCTTATGCTGGGGAGCCTCCCTCTGCCATTCTCTGCCCAGCAGGATCTGCCTGCCAGAGGAGAGGATAAAAACCCATTTGCCAAATATATGGAAGGGAAAAGGGGGTGATGGGCAGCAAAGGGAGATTTCTTGGCTTGGAGAAGCAGGAGCTGCCTACATTGGATGCTGAGCATCTTTCTTCTGAGAGAGGGATGCAGGAATAAGGACACACACACACACACACACACACAGCTCTGGGCTGGAAGCATTCTGGTGTGCAATGAAAACACACACACACACACCAACCCCGACAGTCCGTCTCAGCAAAGCCAAGAAAAAGTACTGATTTACGCAGCACATAGTTAACCTGTGGAACTCCTTCCCACAGGAGGCAGTGATTGTTTTAAAAGAGGATTAGACCAGAGCTGTTTGGCCATGGAACGGTCTCCCTCAGGAGATGGTGGCCTCTCCTTCCTTGGAGGTTTTTAAGCAGAGGTTGGATGGCCATCTGTCATGGATGCTTGAGCTGAGATTCCTGCATTGCAGGGGGTTGGACTGGATGACCCTCGGGGTCCCTGCCAACTCTATTAAATCCACAGAGGAAGAAAGGGCTGTCGATGGCTAGTAGCCACAATGGCTGTGCTCGGCCCTTCCCAGTCGGAGGCAGCCATGATTCTGAATGCCAGTTTCTGGAGACCACAGGAGGGGAGAGCTGCTCTTGTGCTCGGATCCTGCTCGGGGGGTTTCCCACAATGGGCATCTGGTTGGCCCCCGTGAGAGGCTGGAGGAGATGCGCCAGCAGGGCTAGTCTTGCCCTTTTACGATTTATGAAGGGGAGCCACAGTGATGTTGTTTGATAACGTTGATCGGGGGAGACCTTTATCCAGCTCAGATGCCTCCATTTCCACGGGAGAGGTGAGGGAGCAGTTTGGGCTGGATAGCACCCTGAGGATGCTCCCTGGCACAAGCAAAGACACCAGGGGACCCACATGGAGCCTGCAGACCACCTGTCCTCTTCAGGGGCAGGTGTGGGAGATCACCTGTGCCCTTGTCCACGGGATGAGCTCCATCCGGCCGGCCGGCCGACTGGGCAAAGTTTGCCATGCGCCTCCCAGGAAATGTGCAGGGCCAAGGCCGGGTCGCCATTCTTTATGCATGCGTGCCCTGATGCGGCCTGACATGGAAGCTGCATTTGGTACCTCGCACATAAGTGATCTGAACTGCCTGCTATTTTCGTTGACGATAATTTGCTCCGTGTTTGCGTGCAGTTCATGGCTCGGTCAGCCTTGCCTGATACTATATTCCCGTTTGTTCCACTAAAGGTTTCGCTGTCAGCTCGGCTCAGCCTCGACGGGCTTGATGAACCGTGAATGCACCGCGACTGGGGATCGGGACACGTGAGCTCGCCGCAGATGGGAACAAGCCGGACTGGCGGGGGCAGAAGAGAGGGAAACCAGGAGCCAGCCAAGCAGGGGGCACAGGGGGCGGCCATAAGAGTGGGCACTGAACCCATGGCCGGCACCACCATTGAGGAGAAGTCTGGGGACGGTGAGGAAGAAGAAACTCGCAAGCAGTATCCGAGCACGAGAGCAACTCTCCGCTCCTGCATGCTGGAAATTGCACCCAGATTCTGAGAGTCAGGCTTCTCCTGCCCCCGAACTAGAAATCTTCATTTTCTCCACGAGGGAAAATGGCCCTGTGCAAAGCACGTCTTGCCATTCCATAAAGTGCCATTATGCCAGGAGGTACCTCAGCCTCTGGGGACGCGGGTGGCACTGTGGGTTAAACCACAGAGCCTAGGACTTGCCGATCAGAAGGTCGGCGGTTTGAATCCCCACGATGGGGTGAACTCCCATTGCTCAGTCCCTGCTCCTGCCCACCTAGCAGTTCAAAAGCACGTCAAAGTGCAAGTAGATAAATAGGTACCGCTCCGGTGGGAAGGTAAACGGCGTTTCCGTGTGCTGCTCTGGTTCGCCAGAAGTGGCTTAGTCCTGCTGGCCACATGACCCGGAAGCTGTACGCCGGCTCCCTCAGCCAATAAAGCGAGATGAGCGCCACAACCCCAGAGTCGGTCACGACTGGACCTAATGGTCAGGGGTCCCTTTACCTTTATCTAGTCTAGCACCCAACAGTGGCTAACCAGATGCCTGTGGGAAACCTGCAAGCCAGATACGTCAGCAGGGGTCAGCAACCAAAGGCCCATGGGCCGGAAGCAGCCCATGGAGGTCGTTTGACCCGCCTACAAGCTGCTCTCGAATTGAGCTGCCCACTCGTGTGCTGTGCTAAACCGGCAGAACCCGGCGCAGGGACTCGCTTCCGCGGTGCTGGAAATCATGTCTGCGCAGACGCCGGAAATCACATCTGCACATGCACAGACACCGGAAATTGTGGTCGTGCACGTGCAATCTGGCCCACGGAGGGATCTCTGTGGGACCGATCTGGCACAGGCCAGATAAACCTTGCTGACCCCTGCATCAAAGGATGAGGGGGCTGAGTGTGAGGCACCAGGGTTGCAGGTTGCAATAGGAGCAGGCAGTAAACCCTTGCCCACCAACACGACCGAGGAGAAATCTGGGGACTGTGCAGAAGAAACTAGCAAAGGGTGCACGCTCCATGTGCAGGGTGCTGGCCCTGACTGGGAGTGAATAATAATAATTTATTATTTATACCCCTCCCATCTGGCTGAGTTTCCCCAGCCACTCTGGGCGGCTCCCAATTGAGTGTTAAAAACAATACAGCATTAAATATTAAAAGCTTCCCTAAACAGGGCTGCCTTCAGATGTCTTTTAAAAATAGGATAGCTGCCTATTTCCTTCACATCTGGTAGGAGAGTGTTCCACAGGGCAGGTGCCACTACCGAGAAGGCCCTCTGTCTGGTTCCCTGTAACCTCACTTCTCACAATGAGGGAACCGCCAGAAGGCCCTCGGAGCTGGACCTCAGTGTCCGGGCTGAATGATGGGGGTGGAGGCGCTCCTTCAGGTCTACTGGGCCTTTGAGGCCATTTAGGGCTTTCAAGGTCAGCACCAACACTTTGAATTGTGCTTGGAAACATACTGACAGCCAATGTAGGTATTTCAGGACCGGTGTGATGTGGTCTCGGCGGCCGCTCCCAGTCACCAGTCTGGCTGCTGCTTCTGGATTAGTTGCAGTTTCCGAGTCACCTTCAAAGGGAGCCCCACGTAGAGCGCATTGCAGTAGTCCAAGCGGGAGATGACTAGAGCATGCACCACTCTGGTGAGACAGTCCGTGGGCAGGGAGGGTCTCAGCCTGCGTACCAGATGGAGCTGGTAGACAGATGCCCAGGACACAGAATTGACTTGCGCCTCCATGGACAGCTGGGAGTCCAAAATGACTCCCAGGCTGTGCACCTGGTCCTTCAGGGGCACAGTTACCCCATTCAGGACCAGGGAGTCCTCCTCACCTGCCTGCCTCCTGTCCCCCAAAACCAGTACTTCTGTCTTGTCAGGATTCAACCTCAATCTGTTAGCTGCCATCCATCCTCCAACCACCTCTAGAAGGGGCCCGTATTCTGCCTTGAGCAGTGGTCCGCCATGCACCCTGCAACACCGGGAGAGCCCGCTTCTCACAGTGGCCAACCAACTGCCCTTTATGGGAAACCCACAAGCAGCACCCAGGCACGAGAAGGATGCTTTCTATAGGGCAACTATCCTCTTCTGTGGTTTCCAGCACCTGGGACTCAGAAGCATTGCTGCCTCCGACTGTGACGGCCACAGCAGAACCACGCCAGCTGGTCACCATTGCTAGCCTTCTCCTTCTCCTCCACAAATTTCTCCAATCCTCCTTAAAAGCCACCCAAGTTGGTGGCCATCGCTGCCTCCTGTGGCAGGGAGTTCCACTGATTAACTCTGTGCTATGTGAAGGACTTTCTTTTCTCCGTCCTGAATCCCACAGCATCCAGCTTCACTCTGTGGGATGTGATACTCAAGTAGCAGTCAAGTACAACATTCCCAGTTTTCCTAGAGTGGACATGCGAGGGAATGTTTGGTCCAGTCAGTCGAAAACTTCCTGTTTCTTCCTGACTGGGACATACTTCCTCTTGCATGTGGCTAGAGGTGGGCGTGACCTTACCTGTGCAGGTAACAAAACCACAAGGCACGCAGCCCTCCTTTTCCATCTTCCTTTCGTCATGTGAACGGCAGTGATTGCCAGTCTGCGGTCACTGGGATGAGATCCACATGTATATACTTTGTAACTAAGTCTGCCTTCAGGGATCCACCTGTGAACTGAATGTGTGAGTAAACTTCTTTCATATACTTTACACAAGATTGTGGCGTGTTTCTTCTTTTAGGAGGGATATAAGGGGACTTGCCAGGTCACTAATACTGAGAGGCTTAAACAAGCCTGCAACCAGCTACCTGCTGTGCATTTAAAGGGGAAGGTAAAACTCTGCTAAGTTATAGAACTTGCTAGTGCAAGTTGTTGTTGTTTAGTCGTTCAGTCATGTCCGACTCTTCGTGATCCCCTGGACCAGAGCACGCCAGGCACTCCTGTCTTCCACTGCCTCCCGCAGTTTGGTCAAATTCATGCTGGTAGCTTCGAGAACACTGTCCAACCATCTCGTCCTCTGTCGTCCCCTTCTCCTTGTGCCCTCCATCTTTCCCAACATCAGGGAGTCTTCTCTTCTCATGAGGTGGCCAAAGTATTGAAGCCTCAGCTTCAGGATCTGTCCTTCCAGTGAGCACTCAGGGCTGATTTCCTTCAGAATGGAGAGGATTGATCTTCTTGCAGTCCATGGGACTCTCAAGAGTCTCCTCCAGCACCAGAATTCAGAAGCATCTATTCTTCGGCGATCTGCCTTCTTTATGGTCCAGCTCTCACTTCCATACATCACTACTGGGAAAACCATGGCTTTAACTATACGGGCCTTTGTTTGCAAGGTGATGTCTCTGCTATTTAAGATGCGCAAGTTAGGAAGGATATTAATAAACAATATATCCTCTCCTGGCTCCGTGAACATTGCCACACACTCAGCATTCACTCAGCACTGGATGAGCAGTGCTGCTCTCTGCATGCCATGTCTAAGTTTTGTTTTGTTTCCTCTTGTTCTTTCAACTGAAAAGTTCCAAACACCTTGGCTCCCTGGATTGCAACTTTGCACCGCAGAGCCACGGGCTCCGTCCCTTCATGGACCTCCGGGAGCCACTAATGCAGTTCAGAGACGCAACATGTAGGCCGTCTCCCCCCCGGTCTCGTCCCCCATCCTCTCACCTACGGATAGATGAGACTCCCTGAATCCCAGCGCCATTAGGAAGTCTGCGCGCAGCATGTGAGCTTCTGGGAACCCAAAGTGTGGCTCAGGAGAGAGCCGGCGGCTGCCACCGGGTCACTTTTCCTCAGAAGCCCCTTCCGAGACCTTGCAAGGAGTTTGGCGGGGAGGGGGGCAGGCAGGCGCTTCGCCCGGCACTTGTCGCTTGAGATCTTGACGTCCGAGGTGCTGAAATGTTAACGGGACCCTCCAGAATGCTCTGCGACATCTCCTATTCCCTTCATAGGCGACAGCTCATACCCCACAGCCAGGAGGAGGCTGCAAACGCGGCAGAATTTCCTGGAGCACTTGGCATGTTCTGGGATAGAGGTGAGAGGAAAGAAAGAAAGAAAGAAAGAAAGAAAGAAAGAAAGAAAGAAAGAAAGAAAGAAAGTTCAGCATTTGTTTCTTTTTTTTGGAAATCGTTTTCATTTCATTTTACCAATACTAGATTATTAAAAAACCCTACTATATATCCATATACAGAGATTTCTCCGTATCTCAGGACTCCCCCATTAGAGTCCCATTTTAAAGATTTGAACATTTAAACATTTGAAACTGCATCTTGTTCCAACTTTTATATCAGTCCATATTATCCATGGTAATTATCATACTACAAGTGAAACCAGAAAGTTCAGCATTTGCCAAGGCTGAATATACACATCAGTGTGGAAAGGAACCCCCAAAGGTCATCCAGTCCAACCCCTTCAGGAATGACAGCTAGAGAATCCCTGACGGTTTCCCATCCAACCTCTGCTTAAGAATCTCCCAGGAAGGATAGTCTACCATCTTCAGGAGTCGTCCGTTAGCTGTTGCTGCCAGAATGTTCTTCCTAACGCTTAGTTGGAATCTCCTTTCTTGGAATTTGAATCCCCACCAAACATCTAAAGCCCCCCAACTTTGTTCCATGGCTGTGCCTGTCGAATATCCGATCTCAGCCACTGGATCGGACCTTATCAGAGGCGAGGAAAATCAGAGGGGAGGTTTTGCATAATCGAGCTTTGATTCATTGAGGAAGATCGGATTTTCGTGAGGTGCAGCTGCGGAACGATAAGAAAAGCTCTCGCACCCAGGGGAATTAATCAGGACGTGACACATTCAAAATGCAGGTCAAGAGAAAGGGGAGACGAGCCCAGAGTTAAGCCTGGAAGGACGGATGCAGCCTTGAGCAAGTGGGGTTGGCTTCTGGGGGCAAACCCTCTTATGCAGGGGTCAGCAAACTTTTTCAACAGGGGGCCGGTCCACTGCCCCTCAGACCTTGTGGGGGCCGGACTATTTTTTTTTTTGGGGGGGGGAAATGAACAAATTCCTATACCCCACAAATAACCCAGAGATGCATTTTAAATAAAAGCACACATTCTATTCATGTAAAAACACACTGATTCCCGGACCGTCTGCGGGCTGGATTTAGAAGGCGATTGGGCTGGATCTGGCCCCTGGGCCTTAGTTTGCCTACCCATGCTCTTGTGGATCGAGAGACTTGCAGGAGTGAAATGTGCACCCAGCCCATAAGAAACAGCTCCTCTAAGGCTCTAGGCTGGCCTCTTTCGAGTCAGCAGCAGGTGATTCCACATCTGGAGGGATGACGTGATCCGAGCACAACCCTAAAATGGACAACAGCTGCAACTTTGCAGGAACTACTCTGAAAAGAATAGCACACCTCGGCTATTATGAGTTTTTTGGGGGGTGAAGGACTAAACCTTTTGCAGGCCAGGTCAAGTTCTGAAGCACAGGTGGGCAAACTTGCAAGATCTCTCTGCAACAACAAAAACAACAATAAACAAAATATTAAAAGACACCAAAAAAATCAACCATTAGTTCCAGCCTCTGATAAGAGCAAGAGGGAGAGAGGAAGAGAGAAAGGAGATTTGGAAAAAGAGGGGCAGATCCCTTATTTTTCATTTTATTGATTTACGAATCCCCTTCCACGTGAGCCCCGAGGCGATTTGCATCACGGTGGCCAAAAATAGCTTCGAAAGTCGTACGCAAAACCCCGGCAGCTAGAAATAGCTGTAAAAACCCGAAGCAGAATAAACACCCAAGGCCTTTCCGCCCAGCTGGAAGAAATCTGTCAAAACCGAAATGCCTTTGATTGTTTCCGTAAAGCACTTTGCACCCGTAGCCAGCCTGCAGCCCTTGAGAAGAGGATTCTGGGACAGAGGGGCCTTTGGCTTGACCAAGCAGAATCTCCTGATGTTCTTATATTAATTGAAGATGACATACAGGCGAGCTGAAGGGTTAACTTGAGCCCAGGCACAGCTGGCTTCACACCACCCCTGGCATTCTAGGAGACCTGCCTATTCCTGCATCGCAGGGGGTTGGTATGGATGACCCTTGGGGAACCCTATGATTCCATGTGATAAAACAATAGGGGGTGGAGAGTCAAACAGGGGTGCGGCGGAGGGGGGGTCATGGCTGGCCCCCCCCCAGTGTGAAACAACAAGGCAGATATTCTCTTTTCCAGCATCTCTAGGGAGCCGCCGGCACATAGCTGTATGACCTAAATGGATTCCCAGATGCAGTTCTTAGGATCATTCAGGGTATTAATAATGCATCACACCCTGGATGCTGCAAAAGCACTTTAGCAAAAAATAAAAATCTAAAAAACCATTCCTTCGGAAGAGGAGGAAGGAGGAAGGGGAGGAACACAGACGCTGGCGCACAGTCTGGACGGCACCTTAGCAGAATCTTACACATGAAGGAAAAGCGCCAAGACGTTATCCTACATTTTCCAGCCCCACGAAAGGAAGGGGAGATCCTCACATGCCTGTCAGTCACTCGTCGCAGGCCCTCCTCCCAGTGATCGTAAAGCGCCTAAAAATATATGGAAGGTTATATGCCTCCAGCACATAGTATGGTCTGGCTTGCAGAAATCCATCTTTTTATTCTTATTCTTATTTCAAACCCACTACCATCCGATTCCTGTAATAAAGAGAGCAGAGAAATAATTAATAACGAAACAGCTGCAATAACAGAAAAGCAGTGTGTTATCACGCACCCGATTCAAATCTGAAGTGGGTTTCGTACGTATCCTGCATTTTGCTGATTTTGAATTTGCTTTCCGTTCTACTTTTTTGTATTTTAAGTTGTCTTTGCATTTGCAACAGCACATAAAACCCAATTAAAAATAATAATTGTGGAAACAAAAAACCTCCCGCACACTTTAAAGCAGCCTTTCTCCACTTTGGAGTGCAAGATGTTGCTAGACTACAAATCCCATCGTCCCTAGCTAGCAGGACCAGTGGCCATGAATGATGGGAGTTGTAGTCCAACAACAATTGGGGGCTCCCCGGCTTGGAGTTAAATGACCTTTGGGGGTCCCTTCTGACTCTACTATTCTATGACTTTCCACGACTTCTTCTCTGGAAACCTCTGGGTAAAAGCATGTTAGATTTCCATAAGCGTGACGATTTCTCTAGCACGCGGGAGCATCCAGACATGACAAGCCTTCTGCGGTGGGACAGGAGCATGAGGCGACTGTCCTACATCGGAATCAGGACGTCGGCTTTCAGAGCAAACCCTGGACTCTTCCGTAGCCTGTAGGTGGGGGAATTTCCCTGTGAGTTTATTAACTCATTTTCCCTCCCTGCCTGGGGCTAGCTGGCAAATGTTCAAAATAAACAGAGCTGGATTTTCCACTCTGCAGGAGGCTGTAATTGCTGCAAGAGCTTAAAAAAGAAGTGTGTGTGTGTGTGTGTGTGTGTGTGTGGGTGGGTGTCTTAGGTGGCAGCCGACAGCTTTTGGCAAGTGTGTCCCTTCCAGATGTTTTGGACTACAACTCCCATCAGCCCCTGGGCCTTTCCCCCAGCCCAAAGGCCACTTTTTCAAAACCTGCAACACAACTTGGTCCCTTTCGCCTTGTCCTCGCTGCTACCATAGTCTCCCATCCTTCTTAGGGATATTTTTAAAGCTACCCAAACAAGCCTGCAGGATGAAGCCAAACTGCAACAATCTCCAACTGCGTTCTTTGATTTTCAAAGGCCCCACTGCAATGGGCAAAGACTTTGGGGGCTGGGGCAGGGAGTCCTAAGGAAATCATCATTAAACAAATGGATGGTGTTGTTAATAATGAATAAAGGCACAGCTGCGCCGCAATCTGCGCATTACAGCTTTGCATAAAAGGAGGGGGTTCTTTTCCCAGGGTCCCCCAAACAGAACCCCCGCCCCCACGCCAGGCCGCCCTGAAATAATCTCAATTATGGGAGCACGGATCATTTTTAATGACTTGTTTCCTTTGCTGCGGCAAAGATGATAGGCCTCCCTGCCAGCTCCAATTAGTTAATTGCCTTGCATTTGCAAGCTGACTTAATGGCAGAGCCACTGGTCTACAAGAAGGCTTCCCTCGCCGCTATCATTTCCACGGAGAAAAAATAACGAGGCTTTGATTTATTTTTTCAACCTTAAGCAGACGACGAGCTGAGCTGGTAATGGAACAGCAAGTAAGTCAAACCATTATTATTATTATTATTATTATTATTATTATTATTATTATTCTGCCCTATACCCGGAGGTCTCAGGGCGGTTCACAGAACAAGATCAACATATAAAACCACAATACTCATAATCAAAATAAAAACAATAACCCATTAACACCCACCTCCAAAAGAACCACATTTTAAAAGCGCCTTCCGTTCCAAGGAATCGTTGAAACTGGCTTTCACGCATGCATTTCCTACAAACCCCACTGCACATCAGTTCTACTGGATCAGGCCATTATTAGCATTATGTCCTCACAACCTGCAGGCTCAGGATCTGAGCACAAGAGCAATTCTCCCCTCCTGTGGTTTTTTTTAGCAATTTGGTAGCTTTGCTGCCTCTAGCTGTGGGGGCAAATCAAAGCCATCTTGACTAGAAGTAATAATATTATAATAATTTATTATTTGTACCCCGCCCATCTGGCTGAGTTTCCCCAGCTACTCTGGGCGGCTTCCAACAAAGATTAAAAATACATTAAAATGTCACACATTAAAAACTTCCCTGAACAGAAGCCGTGCATAGTCCTCTCTTTCCATGCACTGGGATGTACTGGGATGCATCAGTGAAAGAAATCTATCCGTTCTTAAAGGAGCAGCAGCAGGTATCTCATCCTCTCTGAAGACCAAAATGCTCAGCATCTCAAAATCAACCTCCCATGGTGAGCGAGCTGCAGAGATGCCAAATCTTCCAGAGAGCACGTTCCCCCAGGCGAAACGGAGTTGGCAAGTCAGCTTCAGCTATCAGATGCAAAGTCCACGCACCACCACGGCCTGCATGCCCATGGCCCCCAAGATAACAGAAACAGCTGACCATTTGCCCAATAATAAATGCTGGAAATGTAATGAGACTGAAGGTACCTTTTACCACCTTTGGTGGACCTGCCCGAAGATTAAAGCCTACTGGGAAATGATCTATAATGAAATTAAGAAGGTCCTTAAATGGACCTTTCCTAAAAAACCTGAGGCTTTTCTCCTGGGCATGGTTGGCCAATTGGTGTTAAGGAAGGATAGGGCGTTCTTTATGTATGCTACCACAGCAGCAAGGATTCTTTTAGCAAAGTATTGGAAGACACAAGAACTACCCATGCTGGAAGAATGGCAGACAAAGGTGATCGACTATATGGGACTGGCGGAGATGACTGGCAGAATCCGTGACCAAGGGAAAGAGATTGTGGAAGAAGACTGGAAGAAATTTAAAATATACCTTAAAAACTGTTGTAAAATTGATGAGTGTTAAAATGTCAAGGGATTGGGAAATAGAGAATTGCAGCTGTAATTGATAAGTTAGAGAAGAACCAAAAAGAAAATGAATTGAATAATTAGTTAATTGGGGGAGTTGCTGAAGAAATGCAAAAACAAGGATGCAGAAAAGGGGAGGCATGGGGAAGTCCGGGAAGTAAGGTTTATGAAAAGAGGGTTATGAAATTATACATGTTAAATGTTTGTTTGTTTATGTATTGTATATTGTTTGTGTTTATTTTGTGTTTGGAAAATCAATAAAAATCATTATTAAAAACAACAACAAGATAACAGAAACAGCTGGACCAGAGTTTTGCACGCAGGCAAATGTCCAATGCAGCCCATCTGGGTGCCCTTCCAAATGTTTTGGACTACAATGCCCATCGGCACAGCTGGGACTGATGGGAGTTGTAGTCCAAACCATCATAAGAACATAAGAAGAGCTGGGTGCTATGTCAGGCCAATGGTCCACCTAGCCCAGCATTCTGTTCTCAAAGCGGCCAACCATACGCCTGTGGGAAGCCAGCAAGCAGGATTTGAACACAGGAGCCCTCTCCCTTTCTGAGGTTTCCTGCCATTGGTCTTTAGAAGCATTGCTGCCTGACTGTGGTCGCAGGGCAGAGCCATGTCTGGATAGCAACCATTGCTCCTCCGTGAATTTATACAATCTTTTTAAAAAGCCAACCAGGTTGGTGCCCATCCCTGACTCTTGTGGCAATGAGTTCCATAGTATGTGCTGCATGAAGAAGTCCCTTATCTGTCCTGAATCTTCCAACCTCACCTTTGGACGTCCACCAGTTTGCCTGTTAGGAGACGGAGGAAAACTTTTCTCCATGCTGTGCACAGTCTGGGAAACCTCTATTCCAGGGGTCAGCAAACTTTTTCAGCAGGGGTCCGGTCCACTGTCCCTCAGACCTTGGGGGGGGGGCGGACTATATTTTGAAGGGGGGGGAGAATGAATTCCTATGCCCCACAAATAACCCAGAGATGCATTTTAAATAAAAGGATTTCTACTCATGAAAAAACATGCTGATTCCCAGACCGTCCGCGGGCCGGATTTAGAAGGCGATTGGGCCAGATCCGGCCTCAGTTTGCCTACCCATGCTCTATCCCAGGGGTCAGCAAACTTACCGCGCCTCGGGCCGGTGTCTCCAGCGCCGATTGTACTGCGGGCCTGTGGGAGGGAGAGTGCGTGCCCATACACGTGTGCACACTCTCTTTCCCATGCACTTCCAGGTTGGAGCAGCACTGGAAATAGAAGAAGAGTTTGGATTTGATATCCCGCTTTATCACTACCCGAAGGAGTCTCAAAGCGGCTCACATTCTCCTTTCCCTTCCTCCCCCACAACAAACACTCTGTGAGGTGAGTGAGGCTGAGAGACTTCAGAGAAGCGTGACTAGCCCAAGGTCACCCAGCAGCTGCATGTGGAGGAGCGGGGAAGCGAACCCGGTTCACCAGATTACAAATCTACCGCTCTTAACCACTACACCACACTGGCTCTCATAGCTTGTGCACATGTGCACCGGCTTCCTCCGACTCGGATGTGCACTGGAAATAACGCTTGCACATGTGCAAATAACACTTGCGCATGCATACAAGCTATTTCCAGTGCTCCTCCGACCTGGAAGTGGGCAGCTGCGCAGCGCCGGTAAGAGCGGGTGGCGGCAGCTGGTGGTGGGTGTTGCTGTGGGCTGGATAAACGAGTCCCTCGGGCTTTATCCGGACGACTCTGGGGTTGCGGCGCTCATCTCACTTTATTGGCCAAGGGAGCCAGTGTACAGCTTCCGGGTCATGTGGCCAGCATGACTAAGCCACTTCTGGTGTACCAGAGCAGCGCACGGAAACGCCGTTTACCTTCCCGCCAGAGCGGTACCTATTTATCTACTTGCACTTTGACGTGCTTTTGAACTGCTAGGTTGGCAGGAGCAGGGACCAAGCATCGGGAGCTCACCCCGTCGCGGGAATTCGAACCGCTGACCTTCTGATTGGCAAGTCCTAGACTCTGTGGTTTAACCCACAGCGCCACCCGCGTCCCTAAAGTTAGAAGTCCCAAATGCTGCAGCCTGTCTTCCTGGGGGAGCTACTGCAGCCCCTCGATCCAGAGGGCACCAGGTTGGCCAAGGGGAGTAAAAGAAACTCCGGGAGGGCATTCCAGGCCAAGGAGAAGATGGTGAGTCTGTCAAGGTGAAGGAGGGAAAGGCGCAGAACCTTCTGGGGTGGAGACAGAGGTGGGGAGGGCAAGACCTATCCAGCTGAGATCTCCAGAGAGCAGCAGCGTTAGGAGAGCAGAAATCATCATCATCATCATCATCATCATCATCATCATCATTTATTTATACCCCACCCATCTGGCTGGGTTTCCCCAGCCACTCTGGGGAAAGGATAGCAAGTGATTTAAAAGGAGGAGGGGGGCGCAGAATTAGATTAAATAACAGGAAGGATTCGAAACCTGCGGACCAGAGATTCACAGAAGATTGGTAGAAATATACAAATTATTTGAAGAGCAACTGTAATCAACAAACGATGCTAGTAGGACTACCTACAAGACGTTTTGTAAGGAGAAATGTATGAAACATTGCAAAAGTAGAGGAGGAACAGAGATATCAGTTATGAGTTAAATGTAATTGTGGAAGTAAAGAAATGTATATTTAGTGAAGGGATTGGAAAATTTTCAGATGCGATTGATGGAAGTCAAAAGAATTGTATAAGATATGAAAGTATGTTTAATTACTGTTGAAAATGATATGTCGAAAAACCAATAAAAAAATTATAAATAAATAAATGAATAAAAGGAGGAGGGGAGATGAGAGGAAGCCTGAAAAAGTGGACCAAACAGAAAATAAAAAAGAGGAGAGTCATAACCAACACATCCCTCCCTGCTCAGCTGCCCACCTGTCAATCATCTGGTGCGCCACTCACACCAGGTGACATATCTCCCCCCCTCTCCATCCCATTTTAATTCTAGCAACCTGACTCTGTGATTGAATCCCACCCCCCAAAAACGACAACCATCTGGAAGCACCTGTAGACCCCTGTGCTGTTCTCTGTCTCTCTCCCCCCTCGCTTTTCCCTTCGCCAACCCCCCCCCAACCCACAAGCGCTTCCCTGCCAGTTCATTAGCTTCCTTGACATCCTGACTAAACGTTTGGGGATTTTGCCCGCTGAGCGGATGCCCCCCTGGGCTGGGGGTGGTGGGGGGCGGGCGCCACAGCATCTGGGGCACGGCTAGCCCACGCCAGGGAGTCACATTCAATTGCTGCTCTTCTGATCTGAGGCGACAGGGAAGCAGGCGGCAAAGGTCAGAGCCTAGCGCCTCTCGGCAGAAAAGGCAGGGCTGGGGGGGGCAGGGAGGAGGGAGGGAGGGGGCCCAGGAAGCCCCCTTGCTCCCCCCTCCCTCCCTTCCCCATCCCTTGTCCTCTCCCCAAATGGGAAGGGCACCAGCACCCGGTGCCAGGCCTGCGTTTGAAATCCCAGTGTGGAAGGCGGTTGGCACACAAGCTGGCAAAGCGATCTTCTTCTTCCAAGGCTGCTGTAAGTCCAGAATTTCCTGGGCACAGCCGGGATTCGCCCACCGGAAATGGCACCCGAGAAGAATTTTCAAAAATGGCAGCCCATATCAGTGTTGATTTGGGGGCAATTTGGCTTCCTTTTTCTTTTTTTCTGAGATTTTCAACAGCTTTCGTGTCTGGATTTTCACATTTTTGGAAAACAGCAAGCCTCTTTCCTTCCTTTATGCAGGTGACTCTCAACACACGTTCCAGGAATAGCGTGTAATGCCAAAAGAATAAAAACATTAATGATAATTTTATGATTTATACCCCGCCCACCTGGTGTATAAAATAGTGTACAGTCATACCTCGGGTTACAGATGCTTCAGGTTGCGTTTTTTCGGGTTACGGACGCACTGAAACCCGGAAGTACCGGAACGGGTTGCTTCCAGGTTTCAGCAGTCGCACATGCGCAGAAGCGCAAAATTGCAACCCGCGCATGCACAAACGTAGCGCTGCGGGTTGTGAACGTTCGCAACCCAAGCATCCACTGTTTAGTCAAAACACACTGGGTGCAATGGTGGGTAGAATTGCCAAAGCCTTTTCCCTTGGACGGCTGCCCCCTTTTGATTTTTTTCACTTGCCAAGCATATAAAGGGGCAACCCAGTCATATGGGTAGGGTAATAATAATAACAATAATAATAATAATAGCTGAACGTGCACAAGTTAAGTTGTGAGTTACCCATATTGTATTCCGCCCCATGATATACAGTATTTTAAACCACCCTGTACTCTTTGAATGGAGGGTGCTTCAGAAATTTAATAAATAATAATAGTTTGCCCGCCAAAAGGACCCCCTTCTTTCCTCCCTGGTCACACAGAGAGAGTCACATTTTTATGGCTCAGAAAGGCATTTCCCCAGGCCAGGCTGATGGAAAGCAACCCAAGTTTGGTTCTCAGGTTTAAAAGGACTTCCTTTCCGTCCGCCCCTGTGGGACTGCCCCTGGCTCTGTTTGGTGCAGAATGCTGCGACCAGATTGCTGGTCCGGCCGAGAACATGTGACACCATCGCTAAAACAGCTGCACCGGGTTCGAGGTTCTTGTCTTAATTCACAAAGCCCTGAACATTTGCGGTCCACAGAATGTCAGGGACTGCCTGAACCATTATAATACGCATTCTGTATTTTTTATTTTGTATGTTTCTGCGGTCTTTGGCTAAGGGTTGGGCAATTTCAAAAGTCTTTAATAGTTGTTACACACTTCGTTTAAGGTCCTCACCTCCTTGCAAGTGGCGGGGGGGGGGGGCGCGGAGTTCTACTGCTTTCTGCCTCCATTCGTTTTCCTCTAACCAATTATCGAACTTAGGGGACCCTGAACCCCTTGATGGGCAGCAAAAGCCAACCCCAAACCTTTCTAGAACATAGCTTTGAAGGGGATTTAAACCAGTTCATGAAGTGCTTCCCTCCACGGTGATTAACCCCCCGTGATAGCCCAGTGGAGCCTCCAAGTTCAGAGGCAGTCTACCTTTGGCTACCAGAGCCTGGCTGCAAACAGGGCTATTGCCTTCCTGCCTGGATTGCGAGCTTCCCGGAAACATCTGGCTAGCCAAGGAGGCAGGATTGGAGAGACCTGTAACCTGATGCATCAGCAGGGCTCTTCTGATGCCATTAACCGATTACCGTTCTTTTAAAACAGCTGCGCTGACTGCCAGCTCATTTCCAGCTTCAGTTCAAGAAGGGTGTTTAAAGCCCTGAAAGGCCGTCTCCTTCTTCACAGACCCTCTCAGGTGCTGAGATCAGCAGAGGGGACAGGGGACGCTTGGCAGTTCCCCCGCCCTCAGAGGCTCAGGGTGATGGTGGTCCAGGGAGAGAGGGTCTTCTCTGAGGCAGCCCCTAAGCTATGGGTCTCCCTCTCCACAGAGGTGCACCAGTATACCTGAAGGAGTGTCTCCACTCCCATCGTTCAGCCCAGACACTGAGGTCCAGCTCTGAAGGCCTTCTGGCAGTTCCCTCTCTGCGAGAAGTGAGGTTACAGGGAACCAGGCAGAGGGCCTTCTCGGTGGTGGCGCCCGCCCTGTGGAACACCTTCCCAGCAGATGTCAAGGAAATAAACAACTATCTGACTTTTAGAAGACATCTGAAGGCAGCCCTGTTTAGGGAAGTTTTTAATATTTAATGCTGTATTATTTTCAACACTCAATTGGAAGCCGCCCAGAGTGGCTGGGGAAACTCAGCCAGATGGGTGGGGTAAAGATAATAATATTATTACCGGTATTATTTATTATTATTATTATTATTATTATTATTATTATTATTATTATTATTATTATTACACAGGATGCTGAAGACACAGCTCTTTGAACACTGGAGATGCCATGTCTTTAGGATGGGCCTTACAGTGGTACCCCGCAAGACGAACGCCTCGCGAGACGAAAAACTCGCAAAACGAAAGGTTTTTTCGTTTTCGAGTTGCCTCGCAAGACGAATTTCCCTATGGGCTTGCTTCGCAAAACGAAGCTTGCCCCGGGGACAGCGGGTCTTCTCTTTTGAAGCAAGGGGCGGCGGGGAGATCGCTTCTCCCGGTGCTCCGAAGCGGGGTGGGGGGGCGGGAACACCTGCCCCAGCCGCCGGGCTTCGTAGCACTGCTGCGAAGCCGGGCGGGGGGCGGGAACACCTGCCCCAGCCACCCCGCTTCGGAACGCTGCTCCAAAGCGGGGTGGGGGGGCGGGAACACCTGCCCCAGCGGCCGGGCTTTTTAGCGCTGCTGCGAAGCCGGGCGGGGGGCGGGAACACGTGCCCCAGCCACCCCGCTTCGGAACGCTGCTCCGAAGTGGGGTGGGGGGCGGGAACACGTGCCCCAGCCACCCCGCTTCGGAACGCTGCTCCGAAGCGGGGTGGGGGGGCGGGAACACTTGCCCCAGCCACCGGGCTTCGTAGCGCTGCTGCGAAGCCGGGCGGGGGGCGGGAACACCTGCCCCAGCCACCCCGCTTCGGAACGCTGCTCCGAAGCGGGGGGGGCGGGAACACTTGCCCCAGCCACCGGGCTTCGTAGCGCTGCTGCGAAGCCGGGCGGGGGGCGGGAACACCTGCCCCAGCCACCCCGCTTCGGAACGCTGCTCCGAAGCGGGGTGGGGGGGCGGGAACACTTGCCCCAGCCGCCGGGCTTCGTAGCGCTGCTGCGAAGCCGGGTGGGGGGCGGGAACACCTGCCCCAGCCGCCGGGCTTCGTAGCGCTGCTGCGAAGCCGGGGGGGGGGGGCGGGAACGCCTTCTGAAGGCGGGCGGGGGGCGAAAGTCTTTGTCCCCCCTGCCTGCCTTCCCAGGGGCTTTTAAATCGCCCCGGACAGCGGAGAAGTCCTCCGCTGTCCCGGGGCGATTTTAAAATGCCGCCCGCCAGCATTTTAAGATCGCCCGGACAGCAGAGAAGTCCTCCGCTGTCCCAGGGTTTTTTAAAATGCTGGGGGTGGGAAGAAAAGCCCTTGTCCCCCCCCCCAGCCTTCAGCAGTGGTCCGGGGACAGACTGTCCCCGGACCTGGTCTGAAGTCGGTTTCCCTAGGAACGCATTAATTGATTTTCAATGCATTCCTATGGGAAACCGTGCATCGCAAGACGAAAAAACCGCAAGACGAAGAGACTTGCGGAACGAATTAATTTCGTCTTGCGGGGCACCACTGTACTTTTAGGATTGCAAGTTGGTTTACATTGTTTTTGATCTTGGGTTTTAAAGCTGTAACGTGCCCCCGGGACCTTAGGGGGAAGGGCAGGTAAATCATAATCATGACGGCAATGATAAAAATGATTAAATAGTAATAGTAATAATGATGATGGTCTTAAAGGAGTCAAAGAATTGCCCTGCAATTCAAGAGGTGTAACGTTGCAGAGAGATCCCTGTTGGGTCACAACACTCAGATCATGGGCTAAAGAAAAAGCGTTAAAGAAATGGAAGCAGGCAAAGAGGGAAAGAGATATGCTGAGAAGCAGACAATTCACTGGAAGAAAGTTCACCTCCGTGGTCCTGCATGCACCCAGAAACGTCCCTAAGTCGGCGTTCCTCAGGATTTCTTTCTTCGAAGTTCTGGCGCCTCGTTCCACCCGTCCAACTTTCACGAGATTTCAGCTCCCCAGCTTTTGGCATCCAAGAAGGGGCTGAGCCCCATGGAAAAGTCAAAACCCAGTCTCCCGGGCATGTGGGATTGCGAACCCTCTGAGCCTTTGTATTCCACAGGTGCCAGGAGCAATGGCAAAGGCACGTTCAAATCGCTGGTGGTGATTTAGGAAGGGTGCAGTGCGCCACCCAGTTCAGGTGAAAACAGCCCTGTTCCCAAATTGGCTTGCAGGGCTGCAATTCAAGCCTCTTCCGGCAGTTCTGCCCCTTGAGCACCAAGCTCATCCTCTCCAGCTTGGTCCTCCAAGCTTCCCATCCCATCCTCCTCGCCGGGAAATGATCCCAACATCCAACAAACTTGGATCAACCCCAAAGTGTTCCTCTCGTCACAGAGATCGCAGCCTGTGAGTCCTCTGTGTGGCATGGCTAAAAGATGCTCGAATGAGGCGTCGGGTTCCCAAGGCCCGTCATCTGGGGCAAAGAGAGGAAACTGCACATCCAACTTTGCACCTCCCATTTCTCTGCCTCCAACGGAACGGTCCATATTCAGAATTTCAGGTCGGGGTCCATTCCGCCCATCCTTTGTCGCCTGTGGCGTTCACCCTTCGTAGCCGTGGCCGATTCGCCGTAAAAGTGGAGGATACTTTCCCATTGTGCGGAAGCGTATTCTTTGAGGCTTCCTCTGAATTCTTTTTGCTCTCGTAGCCTGAATCCGGTCAGCTCTGAAACAACAACAGAAGCATAACCAGAAGGGAGCGAAACAGCAAAGCCCAAAGCACTGTCGAAACGTAGACAGTTCCCTTCTCCGTGTTTTCCATGCTATTTAAAAAGCAAAAAACAACAACACGCCACTGTCACGACGAAACAGTACAAAGCCACTTTCTGTCCCCCTCGAACCCGAGTCCAGGTATTTCTCTCACTTTATTCAGGCTCGCCTGCCCCCTCCCTCCCTTTCCACCCGGACGAAATGCGCCTTGGAAGCTCTCCTTGCCGCTTGCTCTGGGTGGGCGGCGCCAGGCACAGTATTTGGGTCACTCGGCACCACTTAGAGTTGGCGGCATCAGCAATGACCCTCCAGGAATCTCTGCCCCCTGGAAGGCCACTCCATCGCTTGCCAGCTCACAGAGGGCCAAGAACCACCCAACGGATTTGATGGGAGCAGGAGTTGGAAAGTTTGTGAGCAACTAGCATGTGATTAGCATGCGTGCATGTGATAGTTGTTTATGCTCACATCTGCAAGTCTGCGCACAACCCTGGCTTGCACTGCTCACATTTCTCTGGAGCAGTCCTCCTCTGACTGGAAACTACCTTTTTGATGAAACATTAGTCAAAGTATCGCAGAGGAAGAAGCAGGGAAATCCATCTGCAGTTGTGAGGAGGTCATGGAATCAGAGAGACGGAGGAGACCCAAAGACTCATCTAGTCTAACCCGCTGCAAGGCAGGAATCACAGCTAAATGATGTCACGAAAATGAAACTCATGTAAGTCAGGGTCATCTTTCTGGTTTGTCTAGTTTCTCCAACATTTCCCCCTTCTGTGCTAAAGGCTGGCTTGGATTAGGCATGGCGGCTCCAAAATACGAGTTCTGCCATCGACACCTGTATTTTTGCATGCAACCGATCCCTCTGGGTTTCCACAGTCAGCACCAGCGGGGAAATCCAGAGAGGAGAGAGAAACGACCCTTCTCAGTTGGTAAACAGCAGGCAGCAAACACAACAACATCCATTTGTGGAGGGACAATCTCTGGGGAGGAATCTGGGGCCTCCAGCCAAGATGATTTATCTGAGCAGCACGCAAAACCATCTCCCCACAGCAACTGCGCTATATTGAACCACATTCAGGGCTGTTGCTATTTCCACCAAAGTCTGAGGTTGCTCCTAAAAGGCCAGGCTTTTTTTCTTTTTTAAAAACCCTTTATCGATTAAAGACAATAAACAAAGGGCAAATTCAAAGCGCAGACAGCGAAAGGATTCAGAGGTCGGGAGCTGCAAGGACTGTAATGGGTCCAGAATGAAATCCCATCGTGAGTTTAGTTTAAGAGGAGGAGGAGGAGGAGAGTGGAGATAGCTGGCTCCTTTGGGAAGAAAGGCGGGATATACATTTAATTAATAAAATAAAGAAATGAACAAGGAGAGAGGCAGACAGTGGTTTTTGCAGCGAATTGAAGGGCGGTCGAGAGAGGCGATTGCTGCTTTTGAAGCAGACACGCTTCCGATTTTTTGCTTCTTAGCAAACGGGTTTGATGGGAATAAGTATTGCTTCAAAAAAACTTCCTGCCTGCTATGGGGAGATCCGTTCCCAGCTGTTGGGGACTCCTGGTCTTCTCTAGCCAAACCTCCAGAGGGGTTTATAAACAGCCCCACTAGTTCATTGCAGCAAAACCCATGACACCTTGAAGGCCGACATATTTGCAGTGGTGCAAGCTTTCGTTGGCAACAGTCTACTTCATCGGATACGCAAAGCGGACTCAAATATATATCTATATCCCATGGGAGGCCAAATGCATAAGAAAAACTGAGGTATGCCAGTCGGGTGAGCCCCAGTCCAAAGCAGACCACAGAAGATGCAGGATTCCTGGACGACCCACTCTCACCACAGCCATGGACAACTCTTCTGACAGAAGAGGCGAGCCGTTTCCACCCCAAAATACTGTGCATAAGACAAAGAGTCAAGAGGACCATCTGAGCGTTGGGAGCTGTTTGACCCGGGATCCGCTATGAAGGGCAAGATCATGAGACCACCTTCCTTGGAGGTCTCCAAGCCAGGCTGCTGGTGGGGGGTGTGAGGTCCGGGATCCTGTCCTTCAAAGGACAGAGGTACAACAGGAGATCCACCGGGTCTTCCTTCCAGTCCTGCCACCCCTGAACGCCAAGGAAACTCCTTACAGGGGAGGGAAGCCAGGGAGTTCCAGGTCCCTTCTATCCAAAGAAGTCTGAGAGAAGAGGACTTACCTGAGTGTTGCTTCTCCAGCTTGCTCAGTGCTGGACTGAAACTTTGTCCCAAGTCCAGACCGAAAAAGGGGGAGCAGAGCGCCCTGTGGGGGGGTCTCTCTGATGCCGACGCCTCCTCCCAGCGTTCCCATCACATGGGACAGACAGGCTGGTGCCAGAGGACTCAGGGAGTTAATGAGGTGGAGAATCGGGTGGCGACGCCTGGACTCTCCTGTCCCCCCCATGCACACGGCTGGCTGTTCTTCCTGGGGGGCCTTAACCCTTGCCCTGCCACTGCTCCTGTGTGCAAGTTGGTGGGGGGGAAGGAAGCCGAGCTGGAGTCCTCAGTGAGAAAGGCAGGACTGTGCTGGGATGGGAAAGGGGCAGAGATCTCGCCGGCACAAATGGATATGAGAGAGAGAGAGAGAGAGAGAGAGAGAGAGAGAGGCCAGGCTGCGTGGGAATGTCGCGACGTCTGTGGCTCTTAGGCACATAAGAGCATAGAAGAGTCTGCTGGGTCCGGCCAACAGCCCTTGCAGCCCACTGCCCTGTTCTCCATGGATTTGGATTTGATATCCCGCTTTATCGCTACCCTAAGGAGTCTCAAAGCGGCTCACAATCTCCTTTCCCTTCCTCCCCCACAACAAACACTCTGTGAGGTGAGTGGGGCTGAGAGACTTCAGGGAAGTGTGACTGGCCCAAGGTCACCCAGCAGCTGCATGTGGAGGAGCGGGGAAGCGAACCCGGTTCACCAGATTACGAGTCCACTGCTCTTAACCACTACACCACACTGGCTCTCTGTGGGAAAGCAGCAAGCAAGATTCGAGAGCCAGAGCAACTCCTGATCTTTCCTGCAACCGGTGTTCTGAAGCCCCTTGCGGTCTCCAAACTGAGGAGGGCAGAGCGTGGTCGTTGTGGCTTGGAGACATCAGCAGACCCGGGACTCAGCTATACAGCTGCAAATATAAAGTTTCAAATGCGTTTCAGGTGCATTATCCAAACGCAACACTAGATGGCGATGGTGAGCTTATGGCAAAGTCAATGTATTTTTCAAAACACTTTTAAAAAAAGCATTTGGTGGTAGATGTGTGAGATAACAAAAGCATTCTGGGAAATGATATACAATGAGTTGAAATAAATGTTTAAAATAATGTTTGTGGGAAAACCAGAAACATTTTTTACTAGGAATTTTGGATGCAGAGATACCAAAGGAGCAGAAAAGAATATTTATGTATGCGACCACAGCAGCGCGGATATTACTGGCCCACAGATGGAAAGAAGATAAAATCCCAACCAGAGACAAATGACTGATGAAGATGATAGACTACGCTGAAATGGTGAAAATGACCGGGGAAATCAGAAACCAGGAAGGTAGAAACTTTAATAAGGAATGGAATAAATTTACAATTTACTTAAGCGAACACTGTAAACAACTACAAACTTTGGCAGGATTTGAGGAACGCTTGTAATGTATTAAAAGCTAAGGTATAAATGGATTATTTTAAGAAAAATAAAGAAAATATATGATGCAGTAGAAAAAGTTTGAGAATGGAGACCATGGAGGGGTGGAGGGAAGTCTAAGGGTTAAGGGAATTCTAAATGTTGATGATTATGATTACTGTTTGATTTCAAATGCATAGTGTATTCCTGTTCGCATCCCGAGGTGCCAGTGTACTGTTTTGGGAGGACAGGGGGCGAGCGGGTGTGGGGGACTCCCTGGTCCTGCATGGGGTAACTGTGCCCCTGAAAGACCAGGTGCGCAGACTGGGAGTCATTTTGGACTCACAGCTGTCCATGGAGGCACAGGTCAATTCTGTGTCCAGGGCAGCTGGTTACCAGCTCCATCTGGTACACAGGATGAGACCCTCCCGGCCCGCAGACCGTCTCTCTAGAGTGGTCCATGCTCTAGTTATCACCCTCTTGGACTACTGCAATGCGCTCTACGTGGGGCTACCTTTGAAGGTGACCCGGAAACTGCAACTAATCGAGAATGCGGCAGCTAGACTGGTGACTGGGAGCGGCCGCCGAGACCACATAACACCGGTCTTGAAAGACCTACATTGGCTCCCAGTACATTTCCGAGCACAATTCAAAGTGTTGGTGCTGACCTTGAAAGCCCTAAACGACCTCGGCCCACTATTCCTGAAGGAGCATCTCCACCCCCATCGTTCTGCCCGGACACTGAGGTCCAGCTCTGAGGGCCTTCTGGCGGTTCCCTCACTGCAAGAAGCCAAGTTACAGGGAACCAGGCAGAGGGCCTTCTCGGTAGTGGCACCCACCCTCCCTTCAGATGTCAAAGAGATAAGCAACTACCTGACATTTGGAAGACATCTGAAGGCAGCCCTGTTTAGGGAAGCTTTTAATGTCTGACAGACTATTGTATATTAATATTCTGTTGGAAGCCGTCCAGAGTGGCTGGGGAAACCCAGCCAGATGGGCGGGGTATAAATAATAAAATTATTATTATAGATGCAGGTGCAAATGTAGAAATACTGACGGCAACTGAATCGAGCTCTTCTTTCAGACATGCTGGGCCCATGAATTGAGCTTTCCTGTGGGGCTCAGCAGAATGGAGGGGATTCCTGGAACAATCAAGTCAGAAGGTAAAGGTAAACGTAAAGGTACCCCTGCCCATACGGGCCAGTCTTGACAGACTCTGGGGTTGTGCGCCCATCTCACTCAAGAGGCCGGGGGCCAGCGCTGTCCGCAGACACTTCCGGGTCACGTGGCCAGCGTGACAAAGCTGCATCTGGTGAGCCAGCGCAGCACACGGAAACACCGTTTACCTTCCCGCCAGTAAGCGGTCCCTATTTATCTACTTGCACCCGGGGGTGCTTTCGAACTGCTAGGTTGTCAGGCGCTGGGACCGAGCAGCGGGAGCTCACCCTGTCGCGGGGATTCGAACCGCCGACCATGCGATCGGCAAGCCCTAGGCACTGAGGCTTTTACCCACAGCGCCACCCGCGTCCCTAGTCAAGTCAGAAGCATTTAGCATATTTCCCAGTGCTGCCGATGCAGGACCACTCGGATGCCGAGGAGCAAGGCTGCCGGCCCAAGACCAACACAAGAACAGACACCCCTAAGTGGAGCCCTGCTGAATCCGGCCAATGGTCCGTCCAGTCCAGCATCGTGTTCTCACAGTGATCAGCCAGATGCCGCAATGGAAAACCAGCAAGCGGGATTCGCACACTGTCCTCCTGCAATTTCCAGCAACAGGCCCTCAGGAGCATTGGTGCCTCCAGAGCTGGGTCAGCCTGGCTAGTAGCTGTTAATAGCCACCTCCTCCATTAATTTCATAAAATCATAGAACTGGAGAGTTGGAAGGGACCCAAGGGTCATCCAACCCCCAGCAATGCAGGAAATAAGAGTTAAAGAATTCCTGGTCGACGGTCACCCAACTTTTGCTTAAAAACCTCCAAAGAAGGAGAGTTCTTTGGAGGTTTTTTCCAATTTCGTTGTTCTGTATGGGACAATGACAATAAAGATTATCGTATTGTATCGTTCACTACCTTCTGAAGGAGTCTGTTCCACTCTTGAACAGGTCTTTCTTTCTTTCTTTCTTTCTTTCTTTCTTTCTTTCTTTCTTTCTTTCTTTCTTTCCTTCTCTCTCTTCTTTTTAAATTGTTATTTTCTTTTACAAAAACAGTAGCCAAAAACTGAACATCTCTTACCGTCAGTTCTTCCTGATGTTGAGTGGGAATCTCCTTCCTTGTAACTTGAAGCCAAGGGTTCGAGTCCTACCCTCCAGAGCAGGAGAAAACAAACCTGCTCCATCTTCCAAGTGAGCGCCTTTCAGATATGTTTTGACGATGGCTCTCTCCTCTTCTCCAGGTGAAACCTACCCAACTCCTTCAGCCGTTCCTCATCCGGCGTGGTTTCCAGTCCCTTGGTTGTCTTGGTCATCCCGCTTTGAGCCTGTTTCCCATATCAGCGCTGGATTTAGGACAGTGCGGGAGGTTCCCCCTCCCAGGACTCCAAGCCGAGAGACTGCAAAACAAGAGCAATAATAATTGTTATTATCATGAACCAATTTGGCCCCTGCAACCGGGATCCAAGCCCCATTGTTTGTAGTTTCCCTCTGCAGAAGATCCAGAGGGTGGGAGCTGGAGAACGGGGCCTTTTCTGTGGTGGCTCCCCATTTGTGGCCTGCTCTCCCCAAGGAGGCAGATCTCTTGCTTGCCTTATCCACCTCCTGAGGAACATGCAGAGAAATGGGCTCATGGCCCGTTGAGGGAGACTTGGCAGCGGTTCGGGTCGCCTGGTGACTCTGAGCTACTGGATGAGGACACCGTGGGCAGGAGCGTCCAGAGCTGGGTTCGAAATCATCCAGGTGCCAGGCGCGTTTTGCGACCACGTGGAGATCTCTGGTTGGGGAAAGCAAAATGCCACTTTTGAAATATTTTCCTTGACGCTTGAATTTGTTTTATTCGGGATTGTTTTATTTGATTTTTAATGTGCTGTAAACTTCTTTGAGAATTGTTCTTTAACATGTAAAGCGGTATAGAAATGGAAATGACGATGATGATAAGTGCTTTTTTCTGGGGGGACTGCAGGGGAACGCATACCCCTAAATGTTTCGTGAATCTTTGTACTTTTGTCCATTTCCTGTATTTATTTTCCCCAATTTGAACTATAAAATGGTGATTTTCTTGAGTCAAAATGAGAGTACCCCAAAACATTTTTAAAGCACTAATAATAATAATAATAATAATAATAATAATAATTTGTTTTTTATACCCAGCCCATCTGGCTGGGTTTCCCCAGCCACTCTGGGCAGCTTCCAACAAAATATTAAAATACAATAGTCTGTTAAACATTAAGAGCTTCCCTACCTTCAGATGATAATGATAATAATAATAACGATAGTGATAATTCCATTAGAGGGGGGAACAGCACTAAGATTGCCATGTGTCCGGGTTTTCCCGGACATGCCCTCTTTGTGGGGGCCAACATTCCAATCCAGGGAGGGGTTGCATTTTATTGGAAATGTCTAGGTGGGGGGTGTATTTATTTATTTTATAAAAATGTATTTTTTTAAAAAAAAAATTGGCCCTCTGCTGCAGAAGCAGTTGCTCTGGCTGGAGCTGAGCATGCAGAAGGGTCTGCTGTTTGCACCGTAGCATTCGATTCACTGCACAAACCGTTGGCAGGTCTCCCCATTTAATTTGGAGATTTCCTCTGCCCACGGACACGGGGGGGGGGGGGGGAGAGCAGTCCCAAGGGAGCCCCTTGGGGTGGCATCATGCCAGGGCCCTCTGCTCTCCTTTCCAGCTGCCTTCAACAGGCACAAGAAGTGTGTCAAAATATGTTTATGCAACCCAAACA